ACCTCCTCACGCGGAACAAGCACGGCGACCCCGTGGAAGCGGAGTCCATCCGCACCGCGCAGACCACAGGCCTTCCGCTGCCGTACGGCTTGAACCTGCTGCAGGCAGTCGCCGATGCGGAACCCTGGCCTGCAGAGCCGCAGCGCTGGACCGCGCAACCCAAGTGGAGAAACCAGCAGCAAGCGGTCAGACACTGTCCGTTCTGGACGCTCTACGGCTCCCGCGGACGAGATCCGCGGGTTCACGAGCTGTCGGCCTACGAGTTCGCCATGCACTTCGAACTCAGGAAAGCCAAGCATCCCTACACCATCAACTTGAACGATGATGGGGAGCAGCAGCGCGCGCCCCGCCACGAAGCTCAATTGACGGACACGGGCAAGGAGAAAGTGCGCTGGCGTCGCTTCGGGTCCAAGCTCTTGCCGGGCGTCGATTATCGCATTCGGGAGCCGTGCCCGGGCGAGGAGTGGATCCCCTTCGGCGAAGCCGAGCTCGCCCAGCCTTTCAGGCACGACTGGGTCATCGTGCCGCGCAAGCGACCGCACGTGCCGGTGCTCTTCGGTGCGCAGGGCAGCAACCAAACCGCGGAAGACCAGGCCATGAAGCTCCTTCTGCTCTTTCGCCCTTGGGTGAATGATCGCCGAGATGCCCAGGACGACCTCGTGGCCTTCGTCGGAGACCTGTCTGCTCGCGACCAGGGGGCTAAGGACTGGCTCCAGGCCGCACGGCTCTGGCTGGGCCGGCGCGGCTTCCCCACAGAGTCCGTGAAGCGCTATGCCGCCCAGTTCTGCTTCGTCCACTGCCTGCCGCGGGAGCTCCGGCCCGGCGCGGAGCTGGAGGCCAACAGCGACAACGAAGACTTGGAGGACGTGCCCTGCTTCTTCGACCAGGACCGTGCAATCCCAGGAATTCAAGCATGTTTGCAACGGGCTTTGCCGTTGAATTTGACTTTAGTTTGTAAGCTTGCATCGGCGTCTGCAGGACGACATCATGCTGGCGATGGAAACGCACGTTCGAGGGGAACCTGGCAACGCCGGCAACGAAGTGCAGACGCACGCCGACCGCACCAAGAAGATGTTCGCGCTGTCGCAAGCCATTTGGCTGGAAGGAAACAATGGAGGTGGACCCGACCCGGAGGCCAGCAACAGGTTCCGCGAGCTGTCCGCCAAAGAGCCCGTGACGGACCATCAGCAGGTGAGACAAGCCGCCATCGATTCGCGGGTCAGGGGCGAGAAAGGACAGGATAGACGAACTACACGACGCAGGGACCGCCGAAGCCCGGAGGTGCAGGCCCAGGAGCCCGTGACCGCCGCCAAGCTCCTGAACTGGCTCCACAGCGACCGTGTGCGTGGGGCCGTGAATGCCAAGCAGCACGAGTTCCTGGAACTCGTCGTGGACAGAGTCATGGTGGAGCTGAACCTCATCAAGCCCGAGGAGTCCATCCGGAAGACCTCGCAGCCCTTGGTCTGGCTGCTCCACGGGCCGCCCGGCGTCGGCAAGTCCCACATCCTTCAGTTCCTCCGCGAGCTTTTCGAAGACTTGCTCCAGTACACCCAGGGCCAGGAGTACGAGGTGGTGGCGCTCCAGGCAGTGAACGCAGCGGACGTCCGAGGCCAGAACATACACAGGGCCTACGGCTTCAACAAGAGTGGGCAGCCGACCGAGGGAGATAACGCCATCGTTCAGGGCATCCGCTTCAGGAGGTGGGTGATCGTGGACGAGATCAGCATGGTCAGCGCGAAGATTTTGGCCCGCATGGAGCAGCGGCAGCGGGAGAACAAGAGCAGCAAG